CAACATAACCCCAATTGTATGAACATTAGCACATAGTCAGAGGTTTGCACAACATAACCCCAATTGTTTGAACATTAGCATATAGTCAGAGGTTTGCACAACTTAATGTTCCCACAATTCCCCAGGCTCTCTACATCAATAAGATCTAAATCCCAATATGTATTTACACAATCACATGTATTTCTAAAATTGTTTTGGGCACATTCTTTAAATTAAATCAACAACGACATATCCCATTTAAAATATATAAATAATACGACATTAATTCTACTGTGTTTTGATTATCAATGCTCAAAATATAGGCTAGGAACGACAACTTTTTTATTTTTTATTTTTATACCTTTTTGATGTTATTTTGTATGATCTTTTTTTAACACGTTTTGGAAATACATATAACTAGGCTTTTAGGCTTTCAATAGTGTACATGTTCTCTTTGTATACATTGTAAAACAAATACAAATTTCGCGGATTTAAAAAAAAATTCATGGATTTTCAAAATTTTCGAAAATCGAACTTTGTTAGAGGCAAATTGTTGAAAATTCGATCATCCAAAAACCTTCCCTGGGGTCCCGGGAGGTCCCACCAAAAGTTAGGGCCCGATCGGTTCAGCCGTTTTGACGTTTATTGGATACAAACAGATAGATCAAGCAAAGTATATTTATACTAAGCTTCTAGGGTGCTTTACGCCCATCTTCTATTTCAATTGTAAAACATGCTCTCTTTGTATACATTGTAAAACAAAAATAAAACAAAAAATTTGCGGATTTTATAAAAAAAATTTCGTGGATTTTCAAAATTTTCACAAATCGAATTTTGTTAGAGGCAATTTGTTAAAAATTCGATCATCCATAAACCTTCCCTGGGGTCACACGAGATCCCACCAGGTCTTACAAAAAATTGACGTTTATTGGATACAAACGGACAGACAGAAAACAAACAGACAGACAAGCAAAGTATATAGATAGATTAATATAATTTTGTGATTGATGCATTTTTTATTTTAAAATCTAAACATTTTAAAACAAATTGATAAAATAATCAAAACCAAATCATTAGCGGGGGAAATATATTTTTAAATTAGTTTCTGGTTTATCTCATCTTTCCAATTATTTGTTCACTAGGCTGTTAGCCGTCTTCTATATCATTTCTCTTTGCTTTATAAACATTGTAAAACAAAAACAAACAAAAATCGCGGATTGTATGAAAATGTTTCGTGGACTTTCACAATTTAATGTAAATCGGATTTCGTCGGAGGCTAATTTTTGAAATTTGAGCCCGATCGGTTTAGCTGTCCAGTGGCCGAATTTAAAGAATTTGAGCGGCGGTTTAAATTTAAGCCGCGGCTTAAATATGGTTGGTTCCATATCAAATGTTTCAAGATTTAAGCCGGCGCTAAATTTAAACCGGGTTTTGGCGGATTTTGGCGAATTCAAACCGCGGCTCAAATTCTTTAAATTCCATCTCTGATGTTTATTGAATACAAACAAACACCATATCAGACTCGACAGACAAGCAAAGTATATATATAGAAATAGGGTGTTCCTCGAAACAAGATAAATATTTTGACATGTCGTCTTCTTGTGACATATTACGACAATCTTTCATGAACCTAATTTTACAAATAATATTTTAGGGATCGACGATCCGTGCCGGCGTAAAGTGAAAGAGGGTGTGTGTTGAGGAACAACAAGGTAGTTTTTGTCTTGCACTAATTCGATATTTTAAAATTGGAATAGAATAATTTACATTCATATTTTTTTGGAATTTTATGGTCTACTACCGGAGATGTTAACATTTTTGTTCAGATTTAAAATGTTCAAATAAAACCAAAATTTTTAACAATTTCAAAAAACAATTATAAGCTGGTAGACACCAATTTTGGAAAACATAAAAGTACGCTGTGGACAGAATTTAAATCCAGGGCTTTTACCTGTGCTCAGCTCAAGGTTTTGACTAGTAATATGGCTCCAATGTTGAACTTTAAAAAAATGTTGTAATTCTTAAAATGTTGAAAAGTGGCAAAGTCAAAATATGAGTTATTAAGTCAATGTTTTGAGGTTTACAAATTTTTTCCAAGAACGATCGCAAAGCTAAAACTTTTAAAGGATTTGTCCCAATAATTTTTTAATTAGGGTATTTCTTTTGCACATTTTTTTGTCACATTTTAAAAAATGCATTTGAATTTTTCAGAGCTTAACATTTAGAAGATCTGAGTGATTTTAAAGATTCTTGAAAGTTGCAAATGAATTTGATTAAAGTTCAAACATTTTTTAAATTACAAAAGTGGGAAAGTGGGATAGTGGGGGGGGGGGAACATGGTTACATTTATGTGCTCGGAGCACAAATTTGTAGAAAAGTGTTTCGGTCATTGTATGAACATTAGCACATAGTCAGAGGTTTGCTCAACATAACTTCAATTGTATGAACATTAGCATGTAGTCAGAGGTTTGCACAACATAACCCCAATTGTATGAACATTAGCATATAGTCAAAGGTTTGCACAACATAACCCCAATGGGGGGGAGGGGGGGCAGTTTACACTAAACGTTTTCATATAAAGCCCGGAAGGACCGGAAGGTTAAAATTAAGTAAGAAAAAGTACGTTTCTAGAATTTAGGTAGATTTAAATTAACTTTTCTTAACTGATAATATCTGTGTAATATGTATAGTTAAATTATCTGGTAAAGATCTGTAAAGTCTAATTACAAGTAATTATCCTTGAATAATTCACGTAAACATATTTTAAGATAAAAACATGAAATAACTTCAGTTGATGCTAAAACACCGGGCAAGATGCTGAAAGGTAAGATCTTTTTAATAATATAAATGTATATTTTTATTTCCTCGTTTTTTAGATTGCTGTATTTTCAAAAATTAAGAAATTTTGGCATTTCTTTCCGGGCAAAATTTATAAATTAACTAGCAGAAACCGTTCCTCATGGGGCCATGGGAGTAGAAACAAAATTGGGTCCGATAGGTTCAGTCGTTTTGACTTTTAATGGATAAAATAGACAGATGCAATATATGATTGGAGGTAGGGTTGGTCAACGTTTTGGTTCAGGTTTTTTTACTTCAAAGTTGTTCCAAAGAATCTAAGATGTTTAATTTGATTTTCTGTAAGTTTGCTTTTATCACATTATGCACAAATTTTTCTCTGCCTATAGATATTTACCAAAACGATTTAATCAATAGTTTTGGTAAATATCTTTGATCATTGTAAAATTATTAAAGTATCCACCGCAGTTCCTTTTTCTTCATTAAATCCTCTCTTTTTCTTACCAAAGTTTTCAGCCACTCTCAGAGGGAAATCTCTGCAGGTGACTCTCTTTTCAAACATTACTTAAAGAAAGAATCTAGAGTAAAAAAAATTGCAAAATAAAGAAGAGGTTTCAAATCTTCTTAAATCCAAATTTAGAAAAATCTCAACATGGCTTGGTTCGAAAAATCTGCGAGTGGGATTATAGAAAATGGTCGATTAAAAATATCTACAAATCCCTTTAATCTTCCTTATTCTGCCGAAATCTATGAAATATTTTTCCTTATTCTTTAAAAAATCCGACAGAAAATGGCTCCATGGAGAAAGTAGGGAATACACCCCTCCCCCCTCCCATTTCAAATCTCATGTATTTTTAACTAAAGTTTTTAATTCAAATAAAAACTTTATTATTTTTTAATATTTAGGAGTTTTTATCTGTTTTTTAATGATACAGCTTGTCTTTCTTACCGAAGGTAATTAAAAATTAAGTTATTTGTATTAAAATGACTTTAACAAAATAAAAAATTTTAAAAATTGTATTTTTACAAATTTGCTTTTGTTATCTTTTTGTAAATAATTATCTAGAGGAGCCACAAATTCAAAATGTACCCTTTTTGTATTTTGTTCACTTTTTTAACTTTTATCTGTTTTAACTATTAAAAGTTCTTCAAGGTTTTTAACTTTTATCAATTGCTTATTTCTAGATATTTTTCAAATTATTTTAAAAACATTTTTAAAAAGTTTTAGAAAAGGAATGTTACTAGGATGAAGATTTTTTTTTATTTCCGCCGAATATGTTTAAGACAAGACAGATTATGTTTAAGACAAGAAAGATTATGTTTAAGACAAGAAAGATTATGAAGATTATGTTTAAGACAAGAAAGATTATGTTTAAGACAAGAAAGATTATGTTTAAGACAAGAAAGATTATGATTAAGACAAGAAAGATTAGACAAGAAAGATTATGTTTAAGACAAGAAAGATTATGTTTAAGACAAGAAAGATTATGTTTAAGACAAGAAAGATTATGATTAAGACAAGAAAGATAAAATTTCCTTTTTTTCAAAGAAAAAAAGGTTTTTGCTATTTTTTGCACTCAATAATTCTACCGCAATATTATCAATAAAATTAAGTTATTTTGTTTCACACTTTCAACTATCTTTTAAAAATGGAAATATCATTAGTTTTGCAAAATTTAAATCTAACTTTTGATATTATATTTTAGAAAGTTAATGTACGATGAATTATTATAAAATTCACAAAATGTACAAAAATATTTAAATTGGCAACAAGGACTCGAAAATTCCGGTCCTCAGAGTTAGAGTGACACATATTAGAACACAAAACTAGAAATTGTAAATAAGAAAACATGAATTTAGGAAAGATAAAGGAAATGAAGCAAGGATCCTGTACTGAGACCTGTTTACAGGATATCTACGATTCGGTCACATTTAACAGGGATAAGGTAAATATCCAACATAAGGAAAATATTAAGAAAATATTCAATTAGAAACAGAGGGTATCAATAAATATGAGACAAACATATTCAAAGTGAGAACCAGAAAACTGTGGAATAGGAAGACGACATTGAAGCAATAATTATGTTTATTTAATTATTTATTTAATTATGTTTGTGACATAACAAATAATTCTACTTGGGTGTAACTTATTAAATTACTTGGGTCTAATAATCGTCTTCCTAGTCCAAAATTTTCAGGTTCTCACTGTAGCAGAGTAAAGAAACTTTAAGTTGTAATGGTCGTCTTTGCCACTGGGTGCTAAATTGCTTAATTGTTTATAAAAAAAGGGACGACATATCATAAAAAGTATAAAAAGTATTATTCTTTATTTTTGATAAATGGTGCTTTTAGATATATATAAGTTTTAGCTTGGGAACCACATTTTTAAAGTGAGTGTTCGTGAAAATGAAAGGGGGTATAGGCTTACGGCGAAAAATAATTGCTTTTGATCGCTACTAATCTTACTGACCAACAATCATCGATAATTTTTCGACGCATTCCTATATAGTTGATATTCCATAAAATTTCTTTATTTTTTATGATCAGATAGTTACTTTTAAAACTTTTATTCCTGTTTCGAGCAATGTTCGAGAATCCAGCGCCAGCGAAATATTATTTTTTTAAACAGAATCAAAAATATTACTAAATATTAACTTTAAACGAATGCATCGATAAATAATCGATGACTATTGTTTGTAATATTTGAATGATTTTATTTGAATTAAATTGATTATTTTACGATCAGAGTTGAATGTTGCAACTTTCCGAATTTGTATGGACGCTACGTTCTTCGGTAAGAGTCGTTTTTAACAATTTTCTCATTATAGACACAACAGATAGAAGTAAGATTAGTAGCGATAAAAAGCGCTTATTTTTAGCCGTAAGCCTTTACCCCCTTACATTTTTCGCAAACACTCCCTTTAAATGTTTATGGGTTACTTTAGATTGTTTCAAATTATGGACAATTCAAAATTCATAAAATTCCCTAACATTTTTTATTAAGTCTTGAAGCATATTTTTTTCGAAATGTTCAGGTTGGAAATTTTCTGAGACAGAAGGCTAGACTTGAAAATTTCCTGAAAGTTCAATCCAAAAAGCTGGATAAAAAGGTAGATTTAACATAATCTCACTGATATCTAGACACCTCTGAAATTTTTCATCAAAGTTTTAGACAGCCTCGACTTTAAAGTGTTGCATCGCCTTGGCCTTTGGTTTCTACCTCACCAACTAACTTACTTTTTTGTAGGCCTAGACATATACATTTTTAATTTGCGTAATTGTCTCTAGCTTAAGTTTAAAAGGAGTAAATGTCAAATTACTACTTGATGTTTGTATGAGAGCGTGCACATCTTATTTATCTTATTTATATACATATAATGATATAAGGTGTTCGGGTTCCACAAAACATGAAAGTTGAATAAAAACTTAAAGGTCGTTAAAGTAGCCTTTGATAGATAATTTGTGGCATTCATTTCTGCAGCAAAATATTTCAATATTGATCATTAAAACAATAATAGTTGTTCTGGCATTTCCAAAATGTGGGCTGCTATTTCGCTCAGATTTATTTCTATTTATTAAAAACCCAAAATTATCTGAATTTCCGATTTCTTTCTTTTAAAAAAATCATTACAGATATCTACTTTACATTTAAGTCATGCAAACTTTTTTTGACACTTCGCATGTCATTAGACAGGTATCAATGATCATATACGATCTTAAATCGTTATCCAACTATCCCTCCCCTCACCAGATCAACCCTTTGCCTAGAGATGTAAATAGCCCCAAAATCAAAATTGGGGTTATATGTCATTTTTTCCGTGGGCCCCTTCCAAAATTCAAATAAAACAAATACAAATTCAATTCTCAATAAAAAAGACCAATACACCCTTTGCTGCTTAGAGAATTATTCCTGAACCAGAAAATACCTTTCAGATTTTATACGTGACATATTTGTTAAACCGAACAGAACGGAAAATAAGTGTTTATCTAAGGACGATTATGCTGTTTTTGCTGATGAGTTGGCTGCAGGATTAGGTGAGCTAATCATTGTTTTAGAAATGAAAACAATTGATTTCAAAGAACCTGTCAAATCTTTCCCTGGGATGTTTAGAAAGATGAAAATTTCCTTGTATAATAATTGAAGGACTGCAGTATGGTTTTGGTGAATTATATTGGCGTACTAAGCCTAGGGGTGTCAGAAATGATTTTTTTTGCATAGTTTTAAAAACTTCTATAAAACTTTTAAAGTTTAATTTTTGATAAACTTTTTGTTCTGGATGATTGCAAGTATCTATCTAAAACTTTCTTAAACCGGCATATTTTTTCTATATTCATTTAATTAGGAGTTTGAGTCAAAACAAGTATTGCTTTATATCGAGTAGATATCCTTATACATACCGATGTAAAACCTTTCAGAAAGTAGGAAAGATTCTGCAAAAAAAAGTTGCCAAACAAAACAGAATTTTTATTTTGAACAAGAATATTTGAACTTAAAGAAGCTTTTCTGGGTTGCACTTTACTCTAGTCTTGCATTATTTATTAAACAAAAAAATAAACTTAAAAATAGATGAAAAAGACAATCTTTAAAAGAACATTATTTCCAGTGACCCACCTGAAGGATTCACAACTGGTTCACAGGAGTCCTATTTAACCCTTTATAAAAGTAAAAATGATGAAGATATCATCATTTTTCTCTTCAAAATGTTTAACTCTAACACATTCCTTCATTTTCCCTGCAGCAGATATCCTTAATACTTTTCTAGAACAACCACTATTGAAAATAATAATAATAATAATAATAATTTTAATTAAAAAATAATCCATAAAAAGAATTCAATTTAAAAAATCAAAAGCAAGGAAATCAGAAAGGATACGAGCAGTGAATAGGAATTCCCAGAATACAGAACGAACTCAGTAAATTAAAAGTTTGATTTAATAAATAGTATTACACACATAGTTTAAGCCTGCTTATAAAAAGTCTCATAAATTTTTAAGACTAATTTTAGACTTTGGGCTTTGATTTTACCGCTCTTTAAATGTACATTTTAGCACCATAAAGCACTTGTGGTTTTTAAAAAGTAATTTACTAAATTCCAAAAGATTTTAACTTGAGAGCGTGAGACCTTTAAATCACAGTGTACTGTTCAGAATAACGCTGTAATGTCAACTATAAATGGAAGGTCACTTGAGATTACATCTACACTTGTAGAATGTATAATGGGACCCCTGTCTTTAATCTAGGTGGAAACTCGACTAGTTTTATCTGCGGAGTGAAGAACCAGGGAACCCAGCTCAATAATGCTACAGAAACATATAAGTAAAAAAACCGGTTTCCTTCATTGATTGATTGATTGATTTATTTACTGATTGATTGACTGACTGATTAACTGATTGATTGAGTGATTTATTTATTTATTTACTGAATGATTAACTGACTGATTAACTGATTGATTGATTGATTTATTTATTTACTGATTGATTGACTGACTGATTAACTGACTGATTGATTGATTTATTTAGTTACTGATTGATTAACTGACTGATTAACTGATTGATTAATTAATTTATTTATTTACTGATTGATTGACTGACTGATTAACTGATTGATGAATTAATTAATTTATTTACTGATTGATTGACTGACTGATTAACTGATCGATTTATTGGTTTAATTTTTGTCTTTTGCATTAGTTTACAGTATTAAAATGCTAGTTTAAAGTCACTAAAAATGGAAAAAATATATGTGCCTCAAATTTACTGTACTAACTTTTGTTTTTGACTTTTCCAATTTGACCGAAGAAGTACTGACGTGACTATTGGCCTAAAATATTTCTACTCTCTTCTGATTGGTTAAATAAAACTTCAGCGACAGAATTTATTGAATTGGAGAGGTCGCTTAATTACCTACCGCCGGTTCAAATCCTTAATCCCCGATTCAAACCACGGTAATGGCAGTTCTGAGACTTAGCTCAAATTAAATAAATTCTGTCTCTGTTTATATAGCTGTTAAAACACCATGTTATTTTACCGCGACAAACCAAAGTACATTTCATGCATGTGAGATTTTTTTTTGATTTTTTAACTTAAATTTTTTTTTAGATTTCTTCAATCTTGCAGTTCATCTATTGTTGCTTCATGCACTAAGGATACAACAATGATCAGGAAACTTTGAAATAAAACGATTTTTGTATTATTTTTCGGTTGATCCGATGATCTGTTGAATAGTTGATCAGTTGATCTATTAATTCTTGATTGTATTGATCACTTTATCTAACGATTTATTGTTGATCAGTTGGTCAATGAATCAGATGATCACTTAATCAAATAATCATTTGATCAGATGGTCATTTGATCAGATGATCATTTGAGCAAATGGCCATTAGATCATTTGATCATTTGACCATTTGATCAGTTGATTAGATAATCAGTTATTTAACATTTTTTCTTGTTCCCCTTCCCAGTCCCGAGATAGAAGCCGAGCTAGCTGCGTGTGAAACTAAAATGTTAGAATTCCAAGCTAAAGTTGAAGGTAAATATGGATAGGAAGGATAGGAAGGATAGGAAGGATAGGAAGGATAGGAAGGATAGGAAGGATTGGAAGGATAGGAAGGATAGGAAGGATAGGAAGGATAGGAAGGATAGGAAGGATAGGAAGGATAGGAAGGATAGGAAGGAGTGAAAGGATAGGAAGGATAGGAAGGATAGGAAGGATAGGAAAGATAGAAGGGATAGAAAGGGTAGAAATTATAGAAAGGATAGAATTATAGATAGGAAAGAAAAGATAGACGGATAGGAAGGATAGAAAGGATATAAAGGATAGAAAAGATAGGAAGGAGTGAAAGGATAGGAAGGATACGAAGAATAGGAAGAATAGGAAGAATAGGAAGGATTGAAAGGATAGGAAAGATAGGAAGGATAGAGAGGATAGAAAGGATAGAAAGGATAGAAGGGATAGAAAGGATAGATTGATAGGAAGGATAGGAAAAATAGAAGGGATAGAAAGGGTAGAAATTATAGAAAGGATAGAATTATAGATAGGAAAGAAAAGATAGACGGATAGGAAGCATAGAAAGGATATAAAGGATAGAAAAGATAGGAAGGATAGAAAGGATAGGAAGGATAGGAAGGATAGGAAGAATAGGAAGGATTGAAAGGATAGGAAAGATATAAAGAATATGAAGGATAGAAAGGATAGAAAGGTCAGAAAGGATAGAACGGATAGAAATTATAGAAAGAATGGATAGAAAGGGTAGAAAAGATAAAAGAATAGAAAGAATGGAAAAGATTCCTAAAAGATAGAAAGGATAGAAAGGATAGAAAGGATAGAAAAGATAGAAAGGTTAGAAAGTATAGAGAGGATAGGAAAGATAGAAAGGATAGAAAGGATAGGAAAGATACAAATGATAGAAAGGTTAGAAAAGATAGAAAGGATATACAGGATAGAAAGGATATATAGGATAGAAAGGATAGAAAGGATAGAATGTTATTACAGCTGTTGAATCTAGAAAACGGGCGAACTAAATGAATAATTAACTTATATCTTGTCCCCCATAGTTTACCCAGTAAATCATCTTGAGCTCATATCAGCACTATATTCTAACGATTTTCACAGCCATGGCCGCAGCGCTCGGCCTCCTAGCCTGTTCTAGCCGCAGCGCACGGCCCCTAGCCGGTCCTAGTCGCAGCACTCGGCCACCTAGCCTATCCTAGCCGCAGCGCTCGGCCCCCTTCGAAGCCTGCGGCGTAACCTAACTTACCCTAAATTAATGGTAAAATAATTGTTAAAAGATTTTTTTAAATGAGAGAAGACGACATTAAATTAGTTTTATGAGTCCGTTTTTTTGAGACACTTCCGTGTTGAGGCGTTTCCGTGTCACCATTGATTTAAAGGTGGTGAGCACTGCTGAGCAGTAAATGAATCATGTAAACAAGATTCTCACGGTATTCAATCCTTAGAGATGATATTGAATACGTCCTCAGGGAGAACACTGTAGAATAAATAGCGAGATCTTGCATACAATACAGCATTTTTTTGGTAATCTCATTTTTGACAAATATTTATGAAATTTTAGAATTTTTTTGTTTGAAGGCAATCTGATAAAACCATTTAAAAAATCTGCGAAACTATTCTTACTCAAAATTAGATGAGTAGAAAATCATGAGTGTGGGAATATATTATCTTTATCACGTCTTAAAATCTTAAACAAATCAGATTAGTAGTTTCGTAGAAAATGCGGGAAATTAAATTAAGAAAATCCGCAATTTTAGTGTTGAAATAATCATTAGAAGCAAAAAGCACAAATCTTTTTTTAAAGAATCTTTCAGATTGCCTTTTAATCAAATAAAAAATTCAAAAATTTATGCATATTTGTCCTGGTTAGTCCAGGGTTCCCCACATTACAAAGGTTTAAATAGGATTAAATAGTTTTACCTAACTTTTTCAGACACAAGCATTTTCCATCGTTCCTTGCAGCCATACTCAATTCATGGACAATCAATTCATATGATCTCTTTAGACAAAATCACTTCAAACAGATTCCGATTGATATGATTAATTTTGCATAAATTTTAGAGTTGAGTTTTAAGTGTCGTAACTTCACCATATCAGCTATACTTTTTTGCAGCCTTAGACATGTACGTTTAGAACTATAAAGCATATATTTTTATATTCTGTTTTTTTGAGGGGATGGAAAAAGTCTCATCGATTTTTGCTTAAGAGCTTGCCACCTTTGTTGATAACTCTAATATGAAAGTTTATCACAATTGATGAAGTCACTACTAATAACTGTATTATTTCATTTTCACTTCCTACTTTTTAAATATCAAGATTAAAAAAAAATCTTTTCTCTATGGAACAGAAAAGATGAAAACTCGAATTTTGTTGAATTTGATCAATTTATATATTTTATATATAACATTTTATCGATCTGTACTCGATGTAAGAATGGTTAGATAAAACTGCTCAAATATATATCTCTTATCTATACAATGAGTCTAAATGTTGTATATATATATATTGTGATGATAACAATATAATTTTTCAGATGATCAGATATTTGAAAATGTTGATAAAACTAGATGATAAGGAACAAATAAGTAATGGCCAAACAAAGTTAAGTAAAGTAATCTTTAATTACAAAAATGTTTGGTGATATGTACATTGCTCAATGCACGCTTTACTAAAGTAAAGGAATTGCAACTTGACGGTGAAAACCTTTTATAGTTCAAACTCAGACTATTTAATCTAACAGAATTTATATTTTGAAATATCAGAGGTCTACAACATCAAGTTTCAAAGATATAGGGATTAGAAAATCTGAGTTTGTGGAAGAAATTCAATTCATTTTACACGTATAAGCTAAAAATATTATATTGAGATATCATAGTATTTTTCTGTTTAATTCTTTATTTTTAACATTTTCAAAATAGACAATAAATCATAAATCATATATCATATATACAAATGTACAATTCACTAGAATTCCAGCTGATTAACTTCCGTCCTCATCATTAAACCTCCCTGTTTGACAGTTTCCTACAGTTTTCTTTAAAATATATCTATATACAGGGTTACCCACAACATTTAACGGTTCTGAGACCATACACGACAGTTTCCTACAGTTTTCTTTAAAATATATCTATATACAGGGTTACCCACAACATTTAACGGTTCTGTCAATATTCCAGAAAGTTGTGACTTTCGATCACAAGTTGACCCATCAAACATAATTTTTAGGATTTTTTCTAAAATACTTTTTTGTCGGCATATGCGTTTTGGATGAAAAAGTATAGAATAAATAAATCCATAAGTTTAAAGATTTTTGAATAATAGACCAAAACACGTTTGATTTCAAATAGAAGAAACCGAAACAAGGAACCCTGAATGCAAAAAAGGGACTAAACAACTTCCGTAAAATAGTCTCTGAATCCATTGTGGGTAACCCTGTATATAAAGCTAAAGTTGTAATTTCTGTTTGGGTGTCTGTTTGTTTGTTTGTCCATAATAAGTGAGGAACCCTCTGGACCGATTTGCTTCAAATTTGGTTAGGGAACTCAGAAGAGCTAAGGAAATGTTCTTAGCATGGTTTTTAGATTAAAACTTGAGAGGATCGATTTTTATTTGAAAAATTAGTTTCCAGCTAAAGTGCGGGTAAATGGCGGGAGTAATTATGAGTAATCTGGGCAACGCTGGGTTCCCAAGCTAGTTATTTTATATTTTCATTAAAAAGTGAGACTCTCTTTTGCCTTAACTCTAGTTTTTTTTGTTTTTTTTTCCTCTCCAATTTATTATTTTCTTTGCGTTGACTTTTTTATCTTTTAATTTTTACTTTTATTTTGTTTTATTTATTATTTAAATAATATAAATACATTTCTTAAGTTCAACCAAAACAGAAGGTTACCGATCCTATCTGTTTTCTTTGTACGGTGTACAGTGAATGCTGTACACTTTACATTTTTATGATTATTAACTGCACACAGTTCAACCTGTACATGTTGGGCAGAGGCCGTAGTTCTAGTTAACGGAATAAAGGTATAATTTTTTATTGATCACACTGCAACAATGATATTATAATCTGGACCACCTTGTACAATAATATTGTAATCTGGACCACCCTGTATTATAATATTGTAATCTGAACCACCCTATACCAAAATATTGTAGTCTGTACCACCCTGTACAATAATATTGTAATCTGGACCATCCTGTACAATAATATTGTTATCTGGACCATCCTGTACAATAATATTGTAATCTGTACCATCCTGTACAATAATATTGTAATCTGGACCANGATTTTCTATAAAATGATGTTCCAGGGCCCAAAAGTATACCTGCAGTATGGAAACAGTACAACAAAATGGCCGTTTTACACTTTTTTCTAGTAAATTCCAGTCTAATATATATTCTATTCTCTTTGGTTTTATATCATCTTCCCATTATATATTTGCTATCAAATATGTCAGAAAAAAAGTATTTTTTGATGAGATCATAAATTATGAAAAGAATGGTATTTCTAACATTCTGTAATTTATGTTCATAGGTTTTGAAATTTTAGTACATCATATAAAATGAAATTGTTCGCAGTAATATTTACGTTGAGAAATACCCAACTTATGAATAATAAACAAAAATGTGGTATAGCCTATGATTTCGTATATGTTGTCGTATATATTGTCTCTAATGACCGTAAAGTTAATTTTCCTTTTCGTAAAAAAAGTCTTTTTTGTTGAACAATGCATGAATATCCAAACTCAGCTCAATTGGACGCTCATTTTATATTTAAGAGACGAACTTTTTTCACCGAGATACTTTTTTTCTTCTCTAGATTTTAGGGACATTTTAAACGACGCAGCGATAATTCTAAAAAAGTGAACAGTCCTCTTAAATATATATATATTTTATTTAGCCTGCAAGAAATCCCAGTTCAACATCCCAGGTAAGCTATAAATCAGCGCTAATTAGGGCTGGACACTTTCTACATTTCAAAATATGTATTTCAATTTCCGTTGTTTATTTTGATGAAAATCGGAATTTTTAGTAAAGGAATTGAGTCTTTGGAACAAAATCAAATATTTAAACCACAATATCTTTAGAACTCGATGTTGTAAACCTTTGATATTTTAAACTCAGATTACTTGATCTAACAGAATTCATAGTTTGAAATATCTAAGATATGCAACATTTGGTTCCAAAGATATAGTGATTAGAAAATCAAAGTTTGTGGCAAAGACTCAATTCCTTTTCAAAATTTTTAGTTTGATAAAGGAAATGTTGTAAATTTAAGTGACCCTCCATTTAAAGGCTTATGTCGAAAAATATTTTATGGTGATTGCTACTAATCTTACTTCTATACTCATACTGAAGAATGTAGCTTCCATACAAATTCAGAAAGTTGCAATATTCAACTCTGATCGTTAAAAAATCAATTAAATTCGAAACAAATCATTCAGATATTACAACCTATAATCATCAAATTTTTTTTCGATGCATTTCATAATATATTTTACTTGTTTCGACGTAAAGCCTATACCCCCTTTCATTTTTCGCGAATACTCCTTTTAAGCTTTATTATTCGTAATTCAGTGCAGTTATTTTGATTTTATTGCGCATAATTTAGGACTGTTGGCTGAATGTCAAGTTGACCTGCTTAATAATTTAGGACTGTTGGCTGAGTGTCAAGTTGACCTGCTTAATATTTTAGGACTGTTGGGTGAATGTCAAGTTGACCTGCTTAATATTTTAGGATTGTTGGGTGAATGTCATGTTGACCTGCTTAATATTTTAGGACTGTTGGCTGAATGTCAAGTTGACCTGCTCAATGCTGATAAAAGTATTGACGAGATATTGAACGCCAAGGAGTTTATTGGAGTAGATACTGGAGCATTTAAAAGAAACTGAACATCTGGATTTCAAGATATTATCATTAATGTAAAAATTATGGAAAATATTGGATAAATAAATATGTAGAAACACAAGTGTTACCCTTCAACAGAGGAGAGGTTTAATGAAGGTTAAAAAAGAAGTACGGACAAGAGTACTGGCTTCTGTTTTTGTTTTTGCAATATTTGCTTGAATTCGAGTATCCGGAGTATTCAAAGTACAGGATGTCCCAAGAAACAAGACAGTAGCAAAACGGGTCATATTTTATCATTAAAATCACCTTTTATCCTCCGTTAAGTTGAAAACCTAATTTTAGAAGTATAATAATTAAAAAATACCCCTTGTCTATGGCATTTCCAAAATGTGGATTGCCTTTTTTGTGCTTTCAATATTACCGGAGATATAAAGAATTTCTTTCAAATTTCGATAATTTTGGTTTTCTTTAATATAATTGAAATCTAACGAAATATTTAATATCTCCGGTAATATTTACAGACAAAAAAAGAAAAGACGACATTTTTTAACTTCCAGGACTGGGAGAATATTGTGGAAAGTAGGTTGACGACTGAATTTGATTTTTCTTTTAGCCTAATATTAATTAAAAACTTATCAGAAATTTATTAATTTAAGTTATTTTTAAAATTTTGATATAAAGCCAATACCCTACGAAGATATTAGGTATTAAGGCAATTTAGATTTATTAAATAAATTGAAATTTGCACAGTGTATTATAATTTCTCCGTTAATTATGAAAAATGGAAAAATGGTAGACCACATTTTAAAATCTTTAGACCTGGCGTTTACGATATCAGATGTTTAAGCTAGAATACTGAAATAATTGTGTTCATGAAAAAATGCCGCATGGATCGAAGTCTATATAAATGTCGTCACTGAATTCTAATGTTTATTGGGACACCCTGTAGTCTGTACTGTTTGTGAAATAATTTTTCTTAACAAAAATATTAGTATCTACAAAACTTCCTGACCCCCATGTACAAAACCGGGTTTACGATAATCTGTCTTTAGTTTCGGGCTCTCACCTCAAGCGTAGAAAAAATGCTGAACCAAAACAAAAAGAAAATGATTTTTTAAATATTCAAATATTTTAATATTTTATTTTAAAAACACAAATTCTAAAAAATTCATCCTCGTATTGCATAAAACATTTTACATTAATAAATTACAGAGTACACTTGGTAAATAGGACAACAGGGAAAGTACATAAAGTTTGAAGTAAGTACACTAAAGTGTACACTGTACAAAGCATAAAGTACATGAAGTTTGAAGTATGCAACTCTAAAGTGTACACTGTACAAAGCATAAAGTACATGAAGTTTGGAAGTATGCAACTCTAAAGTGTACACTGTACAAAGCATAAAGTAAATGAAGTTTGGAAGTATGTACACTCTAAAGTGTACAGCTGTACAAAGCATAAAGTACATGAAGTTTGGAAGTATGTACACTCTAAAGTGTACACTGTACAAAGCATAAAGTAAATGAAGTTTGGAAGTATGTGCACTCTAAAGTGCACAGCTGTACAAAGCCTAAAGTAAATGAAGTTTGGAAGTATGTTTACATACATAATCTGGTCCAAGAAAAACGGACCAAACAAATTCTCAAAAATAATTCTTTTAAGTTTTGTTTTGTGACTTGAAATTGCAATTGAACAAGTAATTTTTTTGTTGATATTATTTCAATTTTGCTGATCAATTATCAATTTGAAACAAAAACTCAGTAATTACATCTTTTAAAATGAGATTTTTCACAATTTTAAGATATTAAAATTTTCAATATCTCTCTAAATATTTTTTTCTTTTAAACATTATTTTTTCTCGTAATTTTCAAGAGTATTCGTAAATTCGCAACATATCGTCAAAATCTGTATTAAGTAAGCTTATCAGTCGATTTTTCAATTTCGTCGAAATATAGTAATTGTGAAATAAGTAAATATACAGTGATAACCAGAAAACTCAGGATTAGGAAGACGACTTTTAAACTTAAATTATGACTTTAGATAGTCCAATGAGCACGGGAAACAAAAATTGTTCTTTGTAAACAGACCCATTTCCCTTGATTTATGATTTAATAAGTGTTTAGTAAAAGTATTTGCTTGATATTGTTATAAAGTCGTCTTCCTATTTTGAAGTTTTCTGGTTAGGACTGCAGTTATAGTTTTTAGAAATTATATAGCGAATCGTCAAAATCAGTAATTTTAGAGCACATCTTGTAAATGTATTGTTTTTGAGCATATTGTCAATTTCTAGTATATTTTAGTATATCGTCGAAATCTAGTATTCATGGAACACATCCTAGAAATCTAGTATTTATAGAACACATTCTAGAAATCTAGTATTTATAGAACACATCCTAGAAATCTAGTATTTATAGAACACATCCTAGAAATCTAGTATTTATAGAACATATCCTAGAAATCTAGTATTTATGGAATATATCCTAGAAATCTAGTATTTATAGAACATATCCTGGAAATCTAGTATTTATAGAACACATCCTAGAAATCTAGTATTTATAGAACATATCCTGGAAATCTAGTATTTATGGAGCATATCCTAGAAATCTAGTATTTATAGAACATATCCTGGAAATCTAGTATTTATAGAACATATCCTGGAATTCTAGTATTTATGGAACACATCCTAGAAATCTAGTATTTATGGAACACATCCTAGAAATCTAGCATTTATGGAGCATATCCTAGAAATCTAGTATTTATAGAACATATCCTAGAATTCTAGCATTCATGGAACACATCCTAGAAATCTAGTATTCATCGAACACATCCTAGAAATCTAGTATTTATGGAACACATCCTAGAAATCTAGTATTTATGGAGCATATCGCCGAAATCTAGTATTTATGAAGCATATCGTCGAAATCTAGTATTTATGGAACATATCGTTGAAAACTAGTATTTATGGAGCATATCTTCTAAATCCAGTATTTATGAAGCATATCGTCGAAATCTAGTATTCATGGAGCATATCGTTGAAAACTAGTATTTATGGAGCATATCGTCGAAAGTATCGCTGAGTTCGTTTGCAACATGTTGAATCTTAATCTTTTCCCTCACGATGTCATCCTGGACCAAAATACAAATTTTAGAAATGTTCTGATAAAAATCTAATTTTTGGCAAAGTTTTATTATATAGCGAATCGTCAAAATCAGTAATTTTAGAGCACATCTTGTAAATGTATTGTTTTTGAGCATATTGTCAATTTCTAGTATATTTTAGTATATCGTCGAAATCTAGTATTCATGGAACACATCCTAGAAATCTAGTATTTATAGAACACATTCTAGAAATCTAGTATTTATAGAACACATCCTAGAAATCTAGTATTTATAGAACACATCCTAGAAATCTAGTATTTATAGAACATATCCTAGAAATCTAGTATTTATGGAATATATCCTAGAAATCTAGTATTTATAGAACATATCCTGGAAATCTAGTATTTATAGAACACATCCTAGAAATCTAGTATTTATAGAACATATCCTGGAAATCTAGTATTTATGGAGCATATCCTAGAAATCTAGTATTTATAGAACATATCCTGGAAATCTAGTATTTATAGAACATATCCTGGAATTCTAGTATTTATGGAACACATCCTAGAAATCTAGTATTTATGGAACACATCCTAGAAATCTAGCATTTATGGAGCATATCCTAGAAATCTAGTATTTATAGAACATATCCTAGAATTCTAGCATTCATGGAATACATCCTAGAAATCTAGTATTCATGGAACACATCCTAGAAATCTAGTATTTATGGAACACATCCTAGAAATCTAGTATTTATGGAGCATATCGCCGAAATCTAGTATTTATAGAACATATCCTAGAAATCTAGCATTCATGGAACACATTCTAGAAATCTAGTATTCATGGAATACATCCTAGAAATTCAATATTAATGGAGCACATCCTAGAAATCTAGTATTCATGGAACACATCCTAGAAATCTAGTATTTATGGAGCATATCGTCGAAATCTAGTATTTATGGAGCATATCGTCAAAATCTAGGAGTTAGGTGAGTGGATCGTCAAAATCTAGTATTTATGGAGCATATCTTCTAAGTCTAGTATTTATGAAGCATATCGTCGAAATCTAGTATTTATGGAGCATATCGTTGAAAACTAGTATTTATGGAGCATATCGTCGAAAGTATCGCTGAGTTCGTTTGCAACATGTTGAATCTTAATCTTTTCCCTCACGATGTCATCCTGGACCAAAATACAAATTTTAGAAATGTTCTGATAAAAATCTAATTTTTGGCAAAGTTTCTTCGAAGACCAGATTTAATGAGTATAGAGAAGTAGTTGAACTACATCTACGCGGTTGTATATATTAAGCCTGGGATACAGTGTATCTTACTTTACATGACATGTTTTTATATAACGAAAATAGCCCATCCAGGATTGAACAGTGAGAGTATGTATTCAATGGAATAAAAAATAAGAATTTTGTGGCTGTTTCCTATTATTTAAAAATTAATTATCGAAAGAATCTTAAAATATAATAATGAAATAATTTTTAATTAAAAATAAACATTTTAATTTGCTTTTGTTCCTCTATGGAGTCAATTCTCTGATTCAGTTTGGTAATGTTCATCTCACCATATTCTGCTCTAGCGTCGGCCATCTTGGATTAGAATTAATTAATCAGCCATCTTGGATTTTAATAAATTAATCAGCCATTTCGGACTAGAAATAATTCATAAACCATCTTGGATTAGAAATAATTATTCAGTCATCTTGGTTTCGAAATAATTAATTAACAATCTTGGATTAGAAATAATCAATCAGTCATCTTGTATTAAAAATAATTATTCAGCAATCTTGATTTCGAAATAATTAATTAGCAATCTTGGATTAGAAATAATCAATCAGTCATCTTGTATTAAAAATAATTATTCAGCAATCTTGATTTCGAAATAATTAATTAGCTATCTTGGATTAGAAATAATCAATCAGTCATCTTGTATTATAAATAATTATTCAGCAATCTTGATTTCGAAATAATTAATTAGCAATCTTGGAATAGAAATAAGTAATCAGTCATCTTGAAATAGAAATAATTAATCAGCAATCTTGGAATAGAAATAATAAATCAGCAATCTTGGAATAGAAATAATTAATCAGCCATCTTGGATTAGAAAAAATAAATCAGTCATATTGGATTAGAATAAATAAATCAGTCTACTTGAATTAGAAATATAATCTTAATATATGGATTAATAATAGACAACTTTTAACAAAATTATTATTATCAAATTTAAAGGAAAATTATTATTATCAAATTAAAAGGAAAATTATATATTATTATCATAGTTTTGTAATTAATCTACTTATATTTTGATACTCTATTAAACAAATAGGCTACTTTTTAAAGCTTTTAACCTTATGTTGTATACACTTAATTTTTAAATCTCGAATTTGAAGTAAAAAAGCAGCGTCGAGAATATTTAATTTTTAATTAAACAATCCTTAAATCTGATAAAATACAGTTTACCTAAAATTTTAGCATTAATTAAATACATACTGTTTTTTATTATTTTATAAATAAGACTTTTTTGTCAGAGCAGAATGATGAAGATATCTTTGGGGTTTTATCTAGAAAATAGACGCTTGCGTTCCTATTGCGGATTTGTGCAGAAGATAAAAAGAAGGAAATTGACAGAATTCATCTCTTTTCAAGAATTGAAAACGACGGCATCTTCATGATTGTTTACAGTGTTCTATATTGGAGCAAAGGTTTACAGTGTTCTATATTGGAGCAAAGGTTTACAGTGTTCTATATTGGAGCAAAGGTTTACAGTGTTCTATATTGGAGCAAAGGTTTACAGTGTTCTATATTGGAGCAAAGGTTTACAGTGTTCTATATTGGAGCAAAGGTTTACAGTGTTCTATATTGGAGCAAAGGTTTACAGTGTTCTATATTGGAGCAAAGGTTTACAGTGTTCTATATTGGAGCAAAGGTTTACAGTGTTCTATATTGGAGCAAAGGTTTACAGTGTTCTATATTGGAGCAAAGGTTTACAGTGTTCTATATTGGAGCAAAGGTTTACAGTGTTCTATATTGGAGCAAAGGTTTACAGTGTTCTATATTGGAGCAAAGGTTTACAGTGTTCTATATTGGAGCAAAGGTTTACAGTGTTCTATATTGGAGCAAAGGTTTACAGTGTTCTATATTGGAGCAAAGGTNCAATGATGTTTGTTTACTTTTCTATTTTGGTTTCTTGTTGGGTGTTTGCTTGTTTGATTTAAATTTCTTTTAGCAGTTTGTTTTTTCTTCTTTTTTAGGTTGTTCACATAATTGTAAATTTGTAACAACCCTGTCACTGTGAGCCTAAGGGAGCAAGCCCTCACACAATCTATAAGAATTCTGACTAACGAACTTAAGAGACCCAAGCCAAAAACATGTGCTGTATATAGTTCTAAAATGTACATTGCTAAGGCTGCAAAAAAGTATAATTGAGTTAGTGAGGTAATTTCAAATGCCATAGCGTTGTGACGCTTTGAAGTTGGCCCAGTCTTAGCAATTAATGCAACTTATCATTGCAGTCTGGATCTATATGTTATGGCTACTTGAGAAAGGCAAAAGTTCCAAAAAAATAGTTGAGTCCTTGCTTTAAATACAGGGTGTCCCACGAAACATGACAGTTGGTAAATGATTTAAAATGTCTTCTTCCATAATTTATTAAGTTGTTTGAAGCCATGAAGAGAATAATGAAAAATATTATATGGCATCATATTATAGTAAAATTGATTTCAAAGTTAAGTTCATTTGAGAAAAAGATTATTTTAACGAAATAAACTGCAAAAAGTCTTTAATATCTAATACAGTATTTGGAAGAAGACATTCAAAACTATTTATCAACTTTCATGTTTCGTGGTAGAGATGATCACTTTTAGTTTTTAGTTTAATGATCCAATATTTAGAGATGATCACTTTTAGTTTTTAGTTTAATGATCAAATATTTAGAGATGATCACTTTTAGTTTTTAGTTTAATGATCCAATATTAAGAGATGATCACTTTTTGTTTTTAGTTTAATGATCCAATATTTAGAGATGATCACTTTTAGTTTTTAGTTTAATGATCAAGTATTTAGAGATGATCACTTTTAGTTTTTAGTTTAATGATCCAATATTAAGAGATTATCATTTTTAGTTTAATCTTTGGTGTTAAATTTGTTTCTCCTAATTTATATTTGTTTTGATGGGATTGCTGCTGTTGCTGTTTTGATTTTAAAAATCCTTTATTCAATGAGGACCGCATGTCCAATTCACAACAGTGCGCTTTAATCTTAATCTGATAAATGATATGGGAGATAACGTCGTTTTTCTTGTTTGAAAATATCTACATCCTGAAAAGCTTCTCCATTAATCTTGTAACATAAATCAAAAATTCCACAAGCCACTTTTGTAGAGAAAACACAATGTAAAAAAATCAATTTTCAAAGAGAGAAACAAAAACAAAGATAACTTATTTATTTGTAATCCACAAAGCTTATAAAGGTGCTGTTGTAAATCTAACCTCACACTTTAAAAATACAAAAAAAAACACACAAATTACGTCTACATGTCCCTTACAGTGATTTTTTTCACATAGCCAAAACAATATAATCGTAAATTGAATTCACCAATTCGTTGTTAATTCGATTTTTTTCTCATGATTTTTTTAAGGAAGTATTCGAAAGGGGAAGGTAATTATTAAAAAAAGGAAGGGGGGGGGCACTCACCGAATTACGATAACCATGTTTGTAAATTTGTTTGCATAACAAACTTTATAAAAACCACCCAGCTGTACATTTTTATATTCTCACCCTTTTATCTGAGTTTTCAACTCTTTCCACAGCTTTCCTAAATAATATAAGAATTGTTTGCTGTCAAATTAGTAAATTTTCAAATTAAAACAGAATAAAATAAAATTTTTGTGAATATTTGATTAATTTTATTGATAATGGTTGATTTGGTAATTATTGCTAGACAATGTATTTATTTTTGCTTGTTTGATTTATAGTTTTTGGATGATTCATTAATTTGTGTTATTCCTTGATTGATTAATGGATTAACAGATTATTATTTTATTTATTGATTATTATTTGATTTACCAATTTATTTATTAATTGGCCGATATTTGTTTTCGTTTAGTAACAAATCATTATGTTTGTAATTAATACTAATAGATTAACTTGATATTATTTGATAGATTGATAAACTTGCTATTGTTTTATGTTAATTGATTGATTAATTCTTCATTTATTGACTGAAAAATTGAGATTATTTACTGATTGATTGATTAATTGGGTATGATTTCATTGATTGGTTATTAATTAACTAATTGATTTGTCATTTATTGCTTGATTGATTGCTTATTTGTACCTTAGTTCCTCCTCCATGACCCCAAGTCTACGGCTGATCTCGTCATACTTCTTGTCCGCATCCTGCCACATAGCCTTGGCCTCCTTCTCCTGCATGTTCTACAACACACAGATAGATAGATAGATAGATAGATAAATAGATAGATAGATAGATGGATAGATAGATAGATAGATAGATAGATAGATAGATAGATAGATAGATAGATAATGTTTCTAAATGAACTGTTTAAGGCTGAAAATGCTGTTATTGTTTGTTAAATGCATTGACAGTGTAACACTAGAAAGATGGATACATATTTTCTTACAAAACACACATCTTCAACCTCAAGACAAAATACAATATACTATAGTATGCACTTTGGTATCTGGAATATGTTTAGATATGAACATGATCAATTTTAACTAATTTGCATGGTCATGTTATGTGTTTATGAACCAATTTGTTCACTAATTTATAATTTGTTCACTTAATGCAGACATAACCTTTCCATGGGTTTTTTCTATTCATGTAAACTGTTGATCGTTCAACACAATCATTTGTTCAAATACTTCTTCATAAAAGATACACGTATATTCAAAATACTCATTTATTCAAAATACTCATTTATTCAATATACTCATTTATTCAAAATACTCATTTATTCAAAATACTTGTTTATTCAAAATACTTGTTCGTTCAAAATACTCATTATTCGTTTAAACATGTTTGTTTAAAATATTCGTGTGTTCAAAATAATCTTTAGTTCAAAATTCGATCCTTCGTTCAAAATGCTTGTTTGTTCAAATACTTGTTTGTTCAAAATACTCATTAGTTCAAAATAATCTGAAGCTTTTCAGCCATTTAAAAGTTCAATAATTATTGAAAGCCTACCATCTGCTCAATCTCCATCTCATTGCTCATTGATCTTGAGTTCAGAGTATTGACTGTCTTTAGTATTCTGTCAGCTCGCTTACTCTCCAGTCCCAGGTCTAGAGTCGTCTTTGCAAGCTTATCCTCGGACTTTTTCACCTGAAACATGGCATTTTTAAACAGTGCGCACAGAATTTTTTGTGTGTTTTTAATCTATTTTAGCTCAACTTAGTGCCGAAAATGTCTTTGTGAACCTTTTATTTGAAAGATAAATTAAAAGTCTGGACGGTAACATCTTAATTAAAATGAAAGCAGTTAATTCACTGGAACTTACAAACATAAAACACTCCAATTTCTAAGACTGGGAAAATTTATTCTCAAAAAAATGAAAAATTACTTTTTTGACTCTCTTGAAAATTTTCCAGACAAAATCTATATGGCAATTTAAATTTGAATTCCAATGTGTGTTCAGATAAAATAAATGGGTTGAAATTTGTCTACTTTGGCGCTAGTTTGAATTATAAGAAGCTGGGAAATTCAAGGTTAAGCCGGAAAGATTAAAATCAAATGCAACGTTCCTGGGAACGCTAATTTGCAAATGCAAATATTTTTTTTTATTTCCAGGAGGAAAACAAAACAAAAAGTATACTGTTTCTCCCATACCTCTCTGTCTACCCCTATCTCCTACCTCTCTGTCTACCCCTATCTCCTACCTCTCTGTCTACCCCTATCTCCTCCTATCCCCTCTCTCTCTGTCTACCCCTATCTCCTACCTCTCTGTCTACCCCTATCTCCTACCTCTCTGTCTACCCCTATCCCCTCTCTCTCTGTCTACCCCTATCTCCTATAACCTCTCTGTCTACCCCTATCTCCTACCTCTCTGTCTACCCCTATCTTCTACCTCTCTGTCTACCCCTATCTTCTACCTCTCTGTCTACCCCTATCTTCTACCTCTCTGTCTACCTCTATCTCCTACTTCTCTGTCTACCCCTATCTCCTACCTCTCTATCTACCCCTATCTCCTTCCTCTCTGTCTACCCCTATCTCCTACCTCTCTTTCTACTCCTATCTCCTACTTCTCTGTCTACTCCTATCTCCTACCTCTCTATCTACCCCAATCCCCTCTCTCTCTGTCTACCCCTATCTCCTATAACCTCTCTGTCTACCTCTATCTCCTACCTCCTCCTCCATGAGAATGATCCTCCTGGAGAGTGTAGAAAGATCTTCTTCCTTCTCCTTCATCTCCTTCTCCTTCACCTCTAAATATCATGAATATGCAGTGAAACCCATAAAACTGTGGAATGGGTAAATGCTCCTGTTACGGGCTCAAATACTCATATAAACATGAAATATAGCAATTGTGTATACAGACTTATTTTACTTAATAAGTTGATTTCCAGCTACTGCACTGGTAAAATTATTTGCTTAAACATATGATTGCCTAATCATGTCGTCTTACTATTCCAAAGTTTTTTTTTCAATTCTTTGTGCCCAATCAAGCAAAAATGACGAAATTAATTAGATTCTTGATTATTGATTCAATTATGAGAATTAAGATTAATTTTATAAATTAAGAATTAAATGAACGTAAGCTTACCTAAATCAGTGCTGGCCTTAAGAAGCTTTTCATGTGTTTCATCAAAAGCACACTCGAGTTTCGAAATTTTCTTCGTGAGATCTCTAGTTATCAAAAATGTTAAGCTTTACTTAAAATTTAAAAAGCTGCTCTCTTCATTCTAATTTTTTCCAAAATTTTTCTTTTTTTCTAATAATTTTTTTCCTGATGTCACAATCACACTGATCAGATCTGCGGTTATATTCCTGCAGTGTAAACGTTAATTATTGTTAATTTAATAACAAAAAGTTGAATAAATATTTTCTTTTTTGATGAAAACAACTTTTAGTCTGTCTTTATATGCAGAAGACATGATCATTAATAATCATCTTTAATACCAGCGATGTTAGGTATTTTCATTTTTCCCAAAGCAATAATTTATAACTTATTCTTCATGTCAACCCCAATATTCATTTGGAAAAAAAATTAATTGGAAAATGTACATTTGGGAATCAGTAACAGCTTAGAAAAGTTTAGTTCAGTGGACAAATTAGCCCCGACTGAACTCGTGTCCGATTCACAACATTCCTCCAAAAAGGTTTGTCTGATCAAAAGTTATTTTTTTTTGTGGATTTCTGTAATTAAGTAAATAATAAACTTAGTATAGTTAAAATTATAGTTTGCTACTAACCTTCGTAACATCCTCGGATTCAGCGGAACTTTTTATCATTCCATCCGTCTCATACTATAAACAATATTTTTCAATTCATTTTTCTTCTTTCTGCGACAGATTCATAGCAAATCTTGAAAAATAAAAATCTATATTTTAGTGATATTCAAAATTCGACGAAAATTTTATGTATTTTGGAGTTTATTAAACTCTTTACTGTGATTTGTTGGACGTTGGTTTAGTTAAATTATGATTTGTTTGTGATCCAATGATATTTGTTTACTTTTCTATTTTGGTTTCTTGTTGGGTGTTTGCTTGTTTGATTTAAATTTCTTTTAGCAGTTTGTTTTTTCTTCTTTTTTAGGTTGTTCACTTATTTTTTTACTGTTTGATGTGTGTCAGGTTTATGGTTTGTTTGTTTGTTTACTGTTAATTTTTTTTTTATATTTGTTTTATTGTTTGTTTGTTGTATATAGGGTTTCCAAAAAATAACCAACTTTTTCAAACTTTTGCTCCTCTTTTCCGCATGAAGCGCAATCAGTTTTTTTGCGCATTTTTTTGCGCAATTTTTACGCGAAACATGATATTTTTAAACAAATTGACCAAAATTGATAGTTTCAGCACGAATCAACCGAAAGAAGGTTTATTAAAAAATTTACATGCAAACAAAATTATGATTATGCTTCTCTGAATTGGTTACTTTTAGTTACAAAAACTTCAAATTGAAGGAAAAATATTAATAAAATAGAAACTAGAAAATTGAAAATTGAAAATTGATTGATGCATAGATTTGTTTAATCTTTGTGTGGAGGAAACCTTTGATATTTCAAATGTTGACTACTTCTATTCAAATGAATATTATTGAAATATCAAAGGTCTATGCCCACTGAGATGAAGACAACCCTGAGCCTAAATTTTTAAGTGTCGCAACGCCTTGGCCTTTGGTTTTACCATATACAATTTTTAAAATGAGTAATGCGTCTGTTTCTAGCCTTAGTTTAAAAAGAGTAGTTGGCAAAATACTGCTTGTTTTCTGGCGTGAGAGTGCAGTGAACATCTTGATTTCCCGTGTGCTATCACCAATCATTAACATCAGGTTGCAAAGGAGAGTTTTAGGCAAGCAATCAGTTCACTTTTAAGCATTGAAATTATATGCCAAAAACCTTTTAATGAGAATTTGCAAAACAGAATAACGCAAATGCGGAAAAGCGCAATTTTGCGCGAAATGAAGTTTGCGAATGATTGCGCAAAGTGCTATTTTTTCGCGCAAAAATGTAGTGCAACGAACGAAAAAATTGTGCAGAAGTTTTGCGAATGGAAACCATATTTGTATAGTTTGCGTATTTTGTTCATTAACTTAATTTAATCTAATTTAATTTGTTTATGTTTGTTTTATTGTTTGTTTGCAGTTTATGTTTAGCTTGTTGTCTTCTTTTCTTCTTAGATTTTTTAAACGTGTTTGTTGACGTTTTTGGTCTGTTTGCTGGAGTTTGGTTTATCGTTTGTTTAGTTTTTGTTTATTTATTTGTTTGTTTGTGGTCAGTTTGTGTGTTTGTTTGTGGTCAGTGTGTGTGTTTGTTTGTGGTCAGTTTGTGTGTTTGTTTGCGTTTTTTTGTTCTTGTTAAATTTTTACCTTGAGGCTTTGCATTTTTTTCCTTATGTTGTCCATCCTGACAGTTTACCCCCAGCAGCTGCAGGGTCTTAAAACATAAAAAATTATAAATTCAACATGTATTTATAAACAAAGAATCTTAAGATTTTTTATTAATTGTCTGTGATTACCCACCTGTAGAATACAACAGCACAGGTGCAAACCTATAATATTTCTAATGAAACAAAAAAATCTAATTTTCTAATTTTACTATTCCCCCCCCCCCTTCCTTTGATAACTTTCATGAGCACATGAAGGCGCCAAATACCTTAAAAATATATTTTGGCCTGAATACCTGTAAATACTGCATAGCTTTGTTACCTGTAGCTTTCTAACATAAATTATACTTCTTTACGTTGTATACAATACAGAGGAATAGACTGACCCCTTGTATAAAATACAGAGGAATAGGCTGTCCCCTTGTATAGAATACAGAGGAATAGACTGACCCCTAATATACAATACAGAGGAATAGACTGACCCCTTGTATAGAATACAGAGGAATAGACTGACCCCTTGTATACAATACAGAGGAATAGACTGACCCCTTGTATACAATACAGAGGAATAGACTGACCTCTTGTGTTCTATATTGGA